GAAAGAAGAAGAAAAGAAAGAGAGAAGAATAAGAAATCCCTGGACGGGAGGAGCCTAAAGGCCTGAGGCATCATGAGTGAGCCACAGAACACCAATGAGTCTACTGAGGAAGATGCTACCGAGTTGCAGTTTCCTAAAGGTTTGTGTAAATGGAGGAAGATAAATATGAGAGAGAGAGAGAAAAAAAAAAAAAAAAGATCCAGTTATCAGATGTTGTGCTGATGTCATACTGGGCATTGGTAATGACAAGGAATTTCATTTGGAAATTATTTAGCCTCTTACATAATTTTTTAGTTTCACACAACCGTCCCGCCTTGCAGTTATTATTATCAATGCTGTAGTATGTGTGTATCTCTTGTTACTTCATATCGCAAGTTACTTTGTAACTCATTGGATCCGGATGCTTCTCTGCCTTCACGTGGGTCAGAAACGGGCATTAGGCTTAACCCCTTCACGACGGGTGATGCCGCCAGGCGTGAAAACAAACCATTTGAAAAGTGGCATGCGGCTGTATGTCGCAGCGGTGTACCAAAGCGTGGTGTGCGTGATTCGGCTTGATGTACCAAACTCACGTGCTCAAAGTCGGCGCGCTGCCTTGGTTTGCCAGAGCGTAGAGTTTTTTTTTTGTTTTCTTCAACCGTCACCATTGGGTTAATTGAGCAGCCACTTTGACGTGTGTGCAGCTTGTAGCCTGGGCACAGGAGAATGCTCATGTGGGGAGACAAGACATTTTTGTCATTTTCTAATGTTTATACTTGTCATTTGATTTGCTTTATCCAGATGGTAATAAACTGTTTTCCTTGGATAAACTCTGTATCATCTCTCAAGGTACTCCATTACTCTGAGCAATAATAGTAACAGAAAGTAACAATTATTTGTATATATAATTTTTTCATAACATTCAATTTTCTGTAATGCAACCTTTGCCACCTGTTATTCTGGGCAGGAATAAGATCCTGAGCATGGAAACATTAACCTCTCTGGATCCAGCGCTCTTCCTTTCATGGCTAACTGATCGTAAACCCCCCACTCATTTATTGATGGAAATAATGCAAAAGCTCCTAATTCTCATGACGGCAAGTTCCCTTGACATTGGCCAAATCTTCCCATGAGGGCTTTTTCACACACTTCAAGTCATTTTTTTTCATGGCAAGATGGTTACATATTCCTGATTGTAGGGGTTAAGCCCACCAAACACATTCCTCATACCTATGTAATTGATGTCATGACCTCATTGCTTTTTCCCCCAGCAATTGTTAGCAAAACTCCACTATTAATATTAAGTAATATGTCAGACACCACAAGCAATCTGGAAAAAGATATCTTGCCACCTGAGAGTAAATTACAGAGGTCATTTCCTTTGTATTTGGTACTCCTGGAAAGGTCAGGAAATCACCACCACTTATTTTTGACAAGAATGATCTTGGATTGGTTCTTATATTAGTTAACAAACTCATTCTTGCCAGGAGTTATCCTTTTTGCCTGAGTGCAAAGGTGTGAAAGCCATAGGAAGTATTTAAGTCATTATAAGTGAAACATCGATATGCCACTGTTGCTTCCCTTTGCTCCTGCAGATTGTTTTCATTAGTGAGATGTGCTGTTTATTGGGTGCTATAAGATACATTATTATTTTTCCCCATCTCTGTTTAGTCCTCTTTTCTAGATTTACCATTAACCCCTACAAACAGAATGAATTGAATGTTGTATCATGAAATAGTTTGGCTTGATGTTGGCATCATGAAAGAGTTTGGTTTGAACATTCTCTGGGAATTTGCCATCATAAGAATTTTAGCTGAGGGGCAGGGAGATGGGAAAGACTTGCCATGAATGCTCAAAGCTCCTAGAGGGGGATCACACTCAATGGGCATTTAGGAAGGGCTATTGCATTTTTTCCATCATTAACCCAATGCCGCTGGGGAAAATGAATAAAAAATGGGGAAAATGTTGTGCTCATTTTTTATATTGTGAAATCTCTCTGCACATTGATGTCTCTTCTAGTGCTTAGCCACAAAGGAGTCATTTGGTAGACCTTGTGAGTTTACCTTTCCTTGAATTAGCAGGAGAACATAATTTAAATATAAAACATAATGAATATCAATGGTGTTATTTTTATTATAAACATTATAATTACTATAATGTTATAAACACTGATCTCTCTCTCTCTCTCTCTCTCTCTCTCTCTCTCTCTCTCTCTCTCTCTCTCTCTCTCTCTCTCTCTCTCTCTCTCTCTCTCTCTCTCTCTCTCTCCCCCCCCCCCTTCTCTCCTTCTCTCTTTCTCTTTCCTTCTCTCTTTCTCTCATTCTCTCTTTCTGTGTACAAACAATTAAACAAGTAAACTCACAGTGGGCATGGCATGTACTACCATCATACAATGTGATTGTAAGAGTGGAGGCTAGAGTGGTGGCTGTGCCTGCTGCGCAGAAAATTCTATATTACGAAAAAAAAATTAAATGACAAAAATAACAAAATGTTACTTATTGTTGTTATTATTCCACTGAAT